GCTTCTACGCTCGACTTAATAACGTGAAACTGAGATTATAGAAGGAACACGTAACCGGTGAAAAACGTTGAACATGCATATTTGACTATATAACAAAAAGAAGATAGTGTTGTGAATAGAGAGAAAGAGAATGGGAAAATTCGTATCTTCTTTCATTAATCAAGTATCCTTTATATAAGGATCAATACATGTGATAAAAGNAAGTTTNCTTTTCCTAAGAGAAAANGAAATTACTTTCCTTTTCCTAAAGAGAAAAGGAAATTACCCTATGACTAAGTATAGATAGGCCGGACCGGGCTATACTGGACCAGAACTGGTTATGACAATCCACTATGATTTATAACAGATAGAATATATTTCGTTTTTTTTTTTTCCATTTGGGGTTTAATATTGAAGGAGAAACTTTACAACTAGTGGGCTTGTGCTAAATACCCAATCCAAAATATTGCCTCTAAAATTGAGGAGCTTTACTTTTTCCTAGACAAACCCCTCTTAAGGATCTAAACCACAACCAAATCCCTCTAAAAGCCAAACAAAAGAGCCACTAGACAGAGGTAGGGTGTCTCTAAGAGATGAAAAGACCACGAAGCCAGGTAGGGTGAGTGGTTGACCCATTGCCACGTCTTTCCTCCTTTGTAATACTTCGAGCTATGAGAGACGCACCTCTATTCGATGTTGGATTCTCCATTTCCAGTCTCTACGTCCAATGCCCATCTTATGTCCATGTAATTTCTAAATGCACCGCGGTTCTCAGACCGCATGTGTCATCTTTGTATACGTTTACGGGCACCTAGTGTAATTGTTCTCATGGATAACCATGTATGGGACCAAGTCTTGTTTGACGCTGGATCCCTGTCTATTTAGCGCAAAACGTTTTTTTTTTTTTTTAACACTGGTCCGTCCCTCTGTCTATCTTGCAGTAATCAGTCCGCTTTCTAATCCTTTTGAAAGCGCACGCTTTCAGTCTTTAATCTGATGGTGGAAGTGTGTTTTTCCTTTCTTATCAACAACAACAATGGCTAACTATAAATTCCTTCTTTTCTTAAAAATTAAAAACCATAAACTCTTTCTCAACAAATTTCATTTCACATTTCTCTCCGTTCCATGACTTTAGTGCTACTTCTTAATCTCTCTCTAATTAACCATCAACTAACCGATAAGCTTTTTTTATACAACCAAAAGATTCCTATGCCATCAACCAAACTAATCTCGAAACTACAGCTGCTATATAATCTCCTATACTATTTTCATTTTTGTTACCCAAAACTCATCACAATCTCCCTTTAACACTTTACTCTTTCCTTTGATTTACTTCTTCGTACTTCAAAAACCGATAGCCCTAATCTTTTACAACCGAAAGATCTCAAACTTAAATCAAGAGTACTAAATCTACAAATTGCAAAACACAAGATCTAGATGCCAAAAATCTCTACAAGACTTATAACACAATAATACAATCCACACAATAACTCAAAAGTACCTTACAAATAATAACACATGACATTACCCATTGTTTTCATTTGATCTCCACAATACCTATACTATATAGGCTTTATTAAAGAACACAAAGATGAGATATAGAACATATTGAAGACAAATTCCATTTAAGACGATGGAGTATTACCGTCATCTTCGCGTAGGACAGGCCTATCATAACTTCCCTTTCCTTGAGGATTCCTTTTCCATTCCATGATATCCTTGAAAGTCTCTTTGAATTTCTCCTTGTGTAGTCGCTTCCATTCCTAGGT